TATTTTGTCAAAATCATGGTTGCGGTGCCAAACGTGGACAGAGATCTGGTAGAGTTGGGTCACGGGTCGGGGCTAGTGGTGGACGAGAGGGGGTATATTGTGACCAGTTTTCACGTCAGCCAAGAGTTCAAAAAACTGTACGTTCAGTTGTATCGGCGCGGATCTGATGGCCGGATGGGACCGACGGGTATGGCTGAAGCCGATGTGGTCTACTCGGGCCCAGAGCTCGACCTGTCATTATTGAAACTGAGAAGACTTAGAGCTGTCATACGCGCCGCTCAAATGCCACGCTTTTGCTCCGGGAGTCCTCCGGCCGGCGAAGAGGTGATGATGTTTGGCAATCCCGATATCGACTACTCGTTTGGCGTTGGAATAGCGATCGGCGCCCAACTCAAGCCCCAGAACTTCTCTGTGGGAGTGTACGAGTATTTCGGGCCGTATGTCGGGTCAAACACATTGTTCGGGAACTACACGACCACCGCATCGGTCGGCTTCTCCGGCGCACCAGTGGTGAGCGCCCGCACGGGTCAAGTGCTGGGCGTACTCTCCGGCTCTGTTGTACGCGAAGATTTCGCCACACCTTCTCATACAGTGACAGGTATTTCATGAGTTTTGTATTTAATTTGTTGTTTCAATTGATTATTTGTTTTGTTTTTTGTGATTTTGTTTAGCGTTTATTCAAAACGGGTTTGATTTTGAAGTCCGACAGAGAATGCATTCATTTGAATGCAACAAATCGTTAGCCATTATTGTCTATGCGTTTGATTTCAATGTTAGACTATGTGTACAGGAAATTAGTGAACATTTCTTTGAAAACATTGATTTAAAAGGAGTACTCGTTTGGCAGACATTCAATTGGATGAGCGATGATATGCCCGAAGAGTATGCCATTAAGATTACAAAGTTTTGTACAAATTATTGTCATATTTTTAAATTGTTTTATCGATTTGTTTAGAAATTGTTTTCAGAGATTTGATATCATATTAAAAGTGAATAATTGTGACATTAATTCTTATGAAGACTTAACGAGAGAAGTGATGAAAAACAGCGAAGTATTGAACATATCTGTCAAAAGAGATGGAAAACAACAAGAGTTAACAATTAGACCAAAACCTATTAAATGCATGAAATTGTAAACTAAATATTGACAAAAAGTATTTCACAATAGATTTGTTTGTAATTTTAGATTTCTTTCTAATTTCCAATTAAAAAATATTTTCACTCATACATAGACTGTGAACAAAATGTTTAATTTAAATATATTGAGTAAATAAAACGTTACATATAATATATTTTAGATTGACTGATTCAAAATTGATTAATTTAAAAAATAATAATCAAAAATTCTTAAACATGTAAAACATTTCGATATCTCTTAAATGTTTTATAGACTTATTTAAAACTCATACAAAATAAATCTCTTCAAACATAGCATTGAAACGAATGTAAATTTATTCAACAATTGATTTACTAGTGTTTGAGTGGCTTTTCATAGACAAAGGCATCAGTGGGTGGGAAATGAAAATCATCATAATAGAAATGCGGAATCGTTTTCACAAATTTAAAGCCAAACTTTTCGTACAATTTGATGGCAACCGTATTGTCTGTCCTAACGTGAAGGTAAACACTGGTCAATGAGGAGTCGCTCTCGGCCTGAGACATGATTTGGGCGAAGAGTCGGCTCCCAATACCCTGACGTCTGTATGCGGCCAAACAGCCAAACGATTGGATGTATAGCCGGCGCCGACCGCTCGCCATAACTTCAATACGACAACTGATTTCACCGATCAGTTGGTCGTTGTGATAGGCTTTAAGTGATGGTCATTACAAATGCAAATATAATTAAAACGGTAATAATTAATTAGGTTTATAAATTACCAAGTTTTGTCCACTCTCTGTCGTTTAACATATTGTTGTAAAACTGATCGCTATATTTGAAGGGAAATACCGTTTCGATGAGAGTCTTGAGTGGTCTGAGAGTATCGGGACTGACATCGCGTACCACTATTTGATCGACGATATGATTGTTTCCGGTATATAATGGCAATTGGTTTGTGTCATCAAAGTTATCAAAGGGTGGCTTTTGATTATCATTGGGTCCCATCATTAGAGCCTTTCTGAAGCTCAGTATCTCTGGTTTGAATCCAATGTTTGCCACCGATTGTCGTTTCCATTGCTTTTGAGACAAATAATAACCACTAATTGTGGAAATGCTTGCAATCAATGAAACTGTTTTCACATTATGTGTGAATCTATTGACCAATCGATACATAAGTACTGATTTTAGTCACAATTTTGTGTTTCCCTAATCATTGATGTTTTGAATAAATAAAAACCAACTAAACATTTAACAATATTTCAAATTCAGATACAGTGCATGAAATTTGATCACTTGTTTTAATTGTTTAATTATATTTATTACTTTAAACTATAAATTAAATATGTTTAAAACTTTTTTTTAAATAACAAAATACTTTATAAGTTTGCATACATTTCATAACATTAAACTTATTTAATCCCTATTATACAGTATGTGTTAAATAAGAGGACAGTTGATTGATCTGACAGTAATTTCCAGTGGTTTAACCGATGTTTTTGTTGATGGGAACCGATGGACAGATACCTTAAGCACATCTCCCGATTCATAGCTATTAACTAATTGTTGTAAATCTGTCACTGAATTGATTTTCTGTCCCATCGCTTCATAAATAATATCAAATCTCTGAAATTCAATCCTAAATATAGAAAATATTACACAAATTAAATATATTGTTTAAAATATTATAAATATTATAATCACTGTTTGTCTTCTAAATCGCTAAACATTATATTCACGACAACAACCCCTTTATTAGCCATCTGTCCAAACTCTGTCATACCGTCCATCACTTGAATCTGTTTTATTACATTTAAATCCAATGTCTTGACAGCGATTCCCAACGATTTTGTCACACAATATGTAAATCTCTGTTCTCTATCTCTCATCTCAAAAATTCTTGTATTTTTAATAAAATCTGCAAAAAATAAATAATTTTTAAATTAAATTTCAAGACACAAATTCATTAGATATGAGCCATACCTTTAACCTTATGGGAAGGGGTGGCGAAATGGTCACTGAATTTGAGTGAACCGCGCCAATTGATACCGACTACTTGTCCGCTATCGTTGACCAGTGGTCCGCCGGGAAAGCCGGCACTTAACTTACAATTATGGTTAATAAACTTCAGATTTGGATCAATTGATTTCTGCAAATATTTATAAGTGCCGTCCGATATAGTGTTGGCCCCTCTGTCGCCGTCACGGATAACACCCATAGATAGGCTGTAATCGATATCCGGGTTACCGAATGCCA